TAATGCTTATAGTTACTGCCCTCTTTTGCTTTTACTTTGTCTATTGTATTGCTCTTTTGCCTTCGAGATATTGCTGTAACTTTATTCCTTTGCTCTTGTTTTTCCTTAGATAGAACTATACGAGGCGTGTTTTCCTAATAATACCCCGGGGGTAGCATTAGGAAGATAGCCGAACCTAACCCCTCTACCCTTCTAGGACTACTTCCCTCTAGATTCCTAGACTCTAGCAACCTTCCTTAAGTAACAACGATAATAAGATACTCTACTAGAGACTGTTCCTGCCCTAATTAGTACTAGTTACGTAGGATACTAAGAAAGGGAGGTTCCCTATCCCTCTCCCTTCCTAGCTCTTAGATAGATATAGCAACCTAGGCCTATAGCCTCTAAGAATAGGGACCTTAGGCTGTCAAGCTTAGTGTTTAGAAGAAGGAAGAAGGTAAACGTATAGACTACCCTTACGTGCTTGCTAATGTAAAAGGTAATGCTACATCTATAACGGTAGTGCTATAGGCCAATATACCGACGAATTAGCTACGCTAAGCCTAGGCGACTTGCTTCTCGCTACCGAGCATCTCTAGAGAAAAGCTAATACTACTCCGGGGGTATTATTAGTCCCGCTAGCTTTACTACTATAGATTTCTGCTAAGGACTCGAACTAACTAGTTACATTTCGAGTGCGCGAGAATCTACGATAGCTAAAGGTTAATAAAGGCGCGTAGTCGCTACTAGCAATTAGCTAGATCGATTGTTAACCTTTAGCCTACCCTAATAATAAAGAAGTCTCGTATATAGCTTCACTTTTATATATAGCCGTTATCCGTTTGCTTTACTAGCGCGGAATATACGGACTACGTTACCTTCGTACTATATTTAAAGCGAGCTTCCTAAGCTCCTTCTTCTACTCGGTTACTAACTAACTCGCTACCGCCTAAAACCCCCCTTCTATTTAAACCCTTTAATTATTATTGTTAAGCAACGAACACACTTTGCAAACTCGTTTCTAAACCGCCTCGGTCGACTATATCTTCCGGCGCCCCGAATCCGCTAGGCGCTAGTAGTAGCAACGACCTACCTGCCCCTATTAACCTAAGCCTAGCCGCCCTAGTTCCGATCGAAGCCCTATCCGATAGCGCCTTAGCTACTGCAACTAGCCTTAAGCACTGCTTCTAGATCGTTACCGCCCTTAAAGACCCTTAAGAGAAGATCTAGAACGCTCGTACCCTGCTACGCGTTATTAATAAGAACATTAAGAAGGCTGCTATCTTAGTTACGTACGGTATAAACAACTTACGTTAGTCTATCGGTAAGCGTATCTTTAAGCGCGAGGTTCTTAACGATATAGATATCGAATAAGCCTTTCCTATCGTCTATAGCCTCGAGATAGCCGGTACCTAGATTCGCTTGCGCTTTAAGACCCTCGACTAGGCCTTCGAACATTAGGGAGGACTAAGTAGTCTTCCTAAGAGCCTTGTTAACTTCGCCTATAGTAGATAAGAGCGTACTAAGCAGGTTTCTTCGTTCGTTAACAAGTATAAGGTCCGTCGTTAAGGCGCCGAGCATCTTTCTCGCACTATAATCTATCGTATATCTACCGCTAGCAAGAAGGTAGGCAAGCAGTTACTTAACTTATCCTTTGCGTTTAACGACTTTACGACAGCCTACTAGAAGAAGTACTACGATACGATTGTCTAGGTCGATCTTAACGTATAGACAACTAAGGATCTACTAAAAGAGAAGGGCTATCGTATTAATAGTATAGGCTTTATTGTTAAAGGTTAAGAGGCTCCTATCGTTGACGTCCTTAAACGTAAGGCCCTTCGCCTAGAAACTAAGGCCGATACGGCTACTAGTCTTACGCTCGCTATAGAGATATAGGCTAAAGATCGTCGCTCGACCCGTAACCGCAAGGTCCCTTAAGAAGTTTAAGACGAGCGCGCTAAGGCCGAAGCAGCGCGTAAGAAGGCATTGTATACTCGCTAGGCCCTCCGCAAGGCTACTAAGAAGTATAGCGCTCCTTCTAGTACCGACTATAGTACTAACTATAGTACTAACTATAGTAACTCGGATATTAATATGCTAGATATACTACTAGAAGATGTCTCCTCCGAAGGCTCCTTTAGCGAGTATAGAAATAGAGGCCTCTCGCCGATCCTATTAACTAAGAATATTTGTAGTTCTTATAAAAGCGACTCTATCGCGTATCTTATTACCGATATCGATATAGTTCCTAAAGCCGTAATAGGCGAAGCTCCTACTGCCCTCTCTATCTATTAACAGCTCGACGACCTTAGTAAGCTAGGAGAAGAGCCGTTCTCTATATGTACTAACTATATTAAGAAGGCCGCTAAGGTCTATAGTCTCTATGCTAGTACTAAGGCGAGTGTCCTCGTCGGTCGCCTATTAAAGATTAGTCGCGAGGTTCCTAATTAAGACGCCTTCGCTACCCTTAAGGCTAATTAGGCCTATACTAACTAGTTTCCTAGACGCCCTATTGCCGCCCCGATATCTCTAGGACTCTACGCGTTCAACCCTACTAGTACTATTACTCGCGCCCTTACGCTAACGGATCGCTAGAGCAAGTTCGTTACCGGCATTCTTAGCTAAGGTACCTCCTTCGATCGCTTTCGCTAGACTAGCAATACTATCTTCCCTTAAGTCTTTAGTTAGTTATAAGAGCCTCGTAGAGTATATCTTCCTTTCCTTATCGACCTAATATAGGAAGAGTTTAAGATATACCTTTAGTATATACGTAATATGCCTAAGTCTAAGCAAGAAGGCCGTAATGCCCTTTAAACTTATAGTGTAAGCAACTAAATCGTCCGCTAGTACCCTGCCCTATAGCTCTTAGCTGTCGCCCTTCGACCTGATTACGTATACGAGCTTATCTCCGTCCCTAAGCCTACTAAGTTCTTTAAGGTTGGCGGTACTTACGAAAACTGTCCTTCTAAGGAGTCTACTCGTCTCGGACAAGATATAGTTAAGCTCGCAGCTAGCGAGGGTGCTAGTTACCTACGTATTAAGGTCTGTCTTATATCTAAGGATAAGACTAGCTGCTCTACTATTGTCGAAGGTATATATTAGCCCGAGGTCTTTGCGAACTAGGTTAAGAAGCTTAAGGCTCGTAGCCTAGTCCTACTAAGCAAGATCGGCAAGCTTACTAATAAGCACCTTACCGACGACGACCTCGACTATATATTCGATAGTTAGCCTAATAGTAAGGGGCGTAAGGCGGAGTAGATCCTCAACCCTCTAAAGGAGTGCGAGGTCTCTGTTTAAATACTATACCTACTATATAGTAATCTAAAGACCGAGAGCAACCGTATATTAATTAACCTAGGCTACTCTCGCGTTATTAATAGCACTAAGGTTAAGGGTTACGAGAACTTAATAGTCTCCTAGGTTGCTAAAGCGTACCGCAATCTAACCGCCCTCCCGGCCTCTAACTCCTTCGTACTATTCGCTTTCCCTACGGCGATCTTAGTCGAAGGCCTCGGCTGCATCTCCGACGCTCTAGTTAGTAGGATTCCTTAGTTAAGTTACGTTGTTTAGAACGAAGTTAAATAGATCCTCTAGCTTAATAACGAGGGACTTAAGGAATATCTATACAATTAGGAGAATGCTACGACGGAAAAGGCTATTAACCTCCTCGTTAATTAAGCTTTCTACGAGGGATAGTACTTCGGTACTAATAGCTTCAACGTATACGGAGGAGATTTCGAGAGCCGACTAGCAGATAAGGTTATTGCTAGTAAGGATTACGGTGCATTAAAGCAGCAGTAAGTTAGCGTAGTAGATTGGATGCTTAGGAAGTTGTTTTTATATGTTAATAGAATCTAGGAACAATGCTACCCCGGGGGTGTTATTGCGGAGTCTCTAAAAGATGCCTTTACTAGTATATACGCGTCTAGTAGCAGCCGCATATACAAGCGCGGTAGGCAAGTAGTTAATATTCGATTTTAAGCCTAAATTGAATGCCTTAGCCGCCTTACGCAGACGCGGAGGCACACTTAGAAACAGCCGAGTATTATCCTAGCTCGTAATAAAATGCCTAACATTAACGTTGCGTAGCTAAGGCGGAGTCTGCTCCGGACTAATATTAGTTAAGCACTAGATGATTCTCTAGAGAATCGCGACAGTTAACTAAACTTCCTTAAGGACTACGCCTAGTTAGTAAATTGTTAGAAAAGGGGAAACTCTAATAGCAATACTTACTAGTCTCTATAAGCTAGAGCTTGTTATAACGCGAAGGGTGCCGATTCTTGTTTAGATTATTACTACCGCCGCCGCTGCTACTACTACCTATACTACTCGCTATACTCCCTAGGCTAGGGTAAAGAATTATCGCTATAATAAAGTCTCGACTAGCTGTTAGACTTAAAAGGTCTTAGTGAGAATTTGAAATCTAGTAGAGGCTGCTAGTACTTAGGGGATTGCTAAAGAGTGGATTGTAAAAGTTCAAGTTATCTAGTTAAGTTCAAGTGTCTTTTATAGGCGCCTACTAACCCTATAATTACGACTAAGGACATTACTCTAAAGCAAACCAATTAGCAAACAATGTAATACAAGCACGTGCAAGTAGTATAGCATGTAAAGCTGTATATAAAGCAGATATAGTCTAATATCTAAAGGCAGTTAGAAGATGAAGTAAAGCTCTAAGCCTAAATTTAAAGTGTCTAATCTAAATAGTACATTATCTCTGCCTAAGGGGGAGTGTTGTAGTTTAGTCAGGTAATATGCTAGTCAGCTAATACTATCAGCTAACCTATACTAAGAGGAAGGACATACAATAGGTATATTAACTACAGTTTCTATAGCAGGCTCCTGATTCTTCTTTGTACAGTTATATAGTTGTCAATCCGATAATTAGTTGCATCCCTAGCACGATTCACAACAGATGTAAGGAAGGACATCAATGTCTGAGAGAGACACTTGCTGACCCTTTTTTTAGCAAGGTGTGCTCAGTGGTCTGCTGCAGAATCCTTATTTCCGGGAGCAGTTCAATGAGCCTGTGAGTCTGCTCCAAAATGTTCGGGAGCACAATCTCTGACCCAAGCCCAGAGCGATGTAATCGTCGGTATCACCGTTGGATCATACTGCTTGGGCAGTCTGGTCGGATGCGGTATCAACTTCTTCATCGGAGACTGGCTCGGCAGAAGACGCATGATATGGCTCGCGATGATCTTGATCATCATAGGCGCGACTCTTCAGACTTCATCGGTCAACCTTGCTCATCTCATAATAGGCAGAGTCATAACTGGCTTTGGTACTGGTATTGATTCGTCTACTGTTCCCATGTATCAAAGCGAGCTTTCGAAGAAGGAGTCCAGAGGACGACTGGTCAGCTGGGAGATCTGGTTCATCGGTAGGGACGAATGAGGAAAATAAAAGGCGAAAGATGCTGACGACCATTCTAGGAGTTGGAATCGTGCTCTCATACTGGATCGATTATGGCTTCTCTTACGTCGAATCCCACGTTGCATGGAGAACACCAATCGGTCTGCAACTGATATTTGCAATCATCGTTGTGTTCGTGGTATGGGGTCTGCCAGGTAGGTTAATAGCGTTGATCCGTTGCTCTCTCACTCCCAGCTGATAGAACGTAAGAATCTCCACGCTGGCTCGCCAAACGAGGTCGCATCGAGGAAGCGGTTGAAGTCATCTGTGCAGTATGGGACCTCCAACCGGACGATCCCTACGTCGTTGAAGAAATGGCCGCTATCCGCGCTGCAGTCGCTTTGGAGCAGTCAGAGGGCGCACAGTCTACGCTTGCAGTCTTCAAAAACGATGCTCTCCAAACACGTCGCCGGGTCATTCTAGCGTGGTTCGGACTTTTCATGAACCAGATGGGTGGCATCAACCTCGTTGTCTACTACATGCCGACTGTTCTTGTCCAAAATGTTGGGTTGAGTAGGAACACTTCTCTCCTGATCGCTGGCTTCGTTCAATGCATGTTCATTGTCGGCAATACACTTCCGGCTCTGGCTCTCGATCGCATGGGACGTCGCCCGACCATGATTTGGGGTTGCGGTTTGCTGAGTGGGTGCATGATGATGATCACGATACTGCTTAGCATCGGAGAGACGAATACTTCATCCGCGGCGATTGCATTCTTCTTCTTATTCATGCTGATTTTTGGTATGTTCATGCAAAAGCCAGAGCATTGGCGTGGTTTGCGCGCTAATATCTGCCAGGTGCTACGATCAACGTGGTCCCATGGGTCTACGGTCCAGAGATCTTGCCTCTTGAAGCCAGAACTCGCGGCACAGCGATCTCAGTCTCGGCTCATTGGCTGTGGAACTTCTTCATCGTCATGATCAGTACGTGTACTACAAGCAACGAATTGAGATAGTACTGACCGACTTCGTAGCACCTGTCCTGATCAATCGCATCGACTGGCGTACTTACATCATCTTCACAATTACCAACGCGGCCTTCGTACCAATCGTCTACTTCTTCTACCCCGAGACGAGCAACATCAGCTTGGAAGACATTGACAAGATCTTCCTTCCAGCGGAGATGCAAGATTACGCTACAAGGAATTCGATCGAGGTGGTGGACGGTTCTGGTTCTTCGAGCAAAGGCGACGTCACGAACCAGGTGGAAAAAGCAGTGTAGAGCAGCAATATCACCCAACAAACTACCTTCCCCATGATGATAGATTAGCAACATCTCAATCCAGAAAAAAAAAAGTACCATTCCCCCCTCCTCACACCCCAGGAAACTTCTCTCCCTGATCCCACTCCGAACGAAAAACATTCCCGTCAGAAAACCCGCATCCATCTCCCAAACGAAATTCAAAGATAGAAAAGAAAAGAAAAAAAAACAGATAACTCACATGTTCAACAATACATCCCCGCCTCCCACCGATACCGATCCACAACATCCCCATACTCAGCATTATGATACCCCAATTGAACCAACTCTACGGAAACTCAAACGCCGTACGGTAACGCTGCTGACCCGTAAAAATTCTAGTCCGCCCAGATCGACGAGTCGACGACAACTTCGACAAGAAATTCTATACTGGATCGAACCCGTTTTATTTTTTCTTTACCGCGGGATTGTAGTTCTAATAACAGACATATATATATATATATATATATATATATATATTAGCTATTAGAAACCCGCAAAAAAAAAATAAAAAAATCCGAACGCTAAAAGTTTTTTGGGAATGGATGGTACAAAACGATATAAACTTATACGACGAATTCGAAAGCTTGGTCGTAGATGAATGCTTATACGAAAGCTTGCTTGGGCTCGAGTGCAGGTTTTGTTGTCCGAATCGGTTATCTTGTTAGGGTTGCGGATACATGGGTCGGGTTTTTTGGGGTTGTGTTGTTGTTGTTCCTGCTAGAGCAGCCAAGCACGATGGTTGGAGCGAGGAGGAGTATAGGAGGAGGTATTGTTAGAATGTTGATTTACTCATTCTGGCTTCACTAGCCTTTCAAAAGGGATGCACGAGATTGGCCGATTGATGAGACAACAGCGGATACCTTATGTAGGTGGCTTGAAGATCTTGGTTCTTTCATTCCTCTGCTTTCGTCTTCTATTGATTCCCTTCCCATTTATGACCCTAATCTAATCCTCCTATCATAGAATCGAATAGTATAAACATTAATAATAGGTGCGGGTGGGAATCTGATTCTCGCAAACATTTCATCAAAAGTGCGATGTAGACTGATGCGCGGTTTCATCGCCGCCATGTCTCTGCCCGATATCCTGCCCTCTGTTCACAATGCAATGCAATTGTACGTCGTGCTACCCCAATGGAAGCCGGCCGCTGGGCGCGTGGTGTATGGCGATATGCGTGGTATGTTTCGTTAGGCCTGTGGCTGTGTCTTTTATCTGGTTCCTACCAGCCGAGCGTTCGGGGTATGTAAGCACCCGATTCGATCAAGATTTCGAACGCGCCGTGATTTGCCTTCTCATTACTCTTTTCTTTATGGTGCTGTCATCTGTGCTGTGGCTTGCGCCTCGACTGTCTCGTCCTTGTCCTCTCAGCATAGCGGCTTCTTGACATCCTCGACACCTCTACGAATGACGTCCTCAACTTTCCATCGTGGTGGCTCCACTACTGGCTGACCACCACTCTCCAAGCATGAGCGCACTTCCATTTCCTCTTTGTTGGTGAAGCCGTCTGGGATTGGTTCCTGACCTCCCGCGATACCAGAGGAGAACTTGAGCTGCAGTACCTCTCCAGCTTGGTCGCAAGCTGCCAGAAGTCGGTCGAGGTCATCCTTGGTGTGTGCGGCAGATACGCAAAATCGTGCTCGCGAAGAGATGAGCGGAGTAGCTGGATAGCCAACGACAACGACCGCGATCTTGCGCTTCAGCATTTCGTGAGAGAAGGCTGGGATCTTGGCTGGGTGGTAGAGCAGAAGTGGAATGATTGGAGAATCGTCATGACCGTAGACGATGAACCCCAATCGCTTGAGTCCCAGGCGAAGGTAGCGCGAGTTGAAGGCAAGACGTTGGAGTCGCTCCTCACCTTGGCCTGGTGCGAGCTCGCCGGCGATGATTCTGAGCGAAGAGCTGATCTGGGCCAGGACAGCAGGAGTTGGGCATTCACCAAAGAGAGTGCCAGCGTTGGTGACTCGGATCTTGTCAATGATGGCTCTGTCACTGCAAATGTATCCCCCGTTGGCACCGAATGACTTGGTGAATGTGCCCATGAGGATGTCGATTTCGGCGGTATCAATGCCAAAATAGTCGCATACCCCTCGTCCGCGTGGGCCAAGGGCACCAATGGAGTGGGCTTCGTCGACGTAAAGGTGGAACTTGTACTTCTTCTTCAGAGCAACGAGACCTGGCAGGTTGGCCAAGGTACCCTCCATAGAGTACAGACCCTCGACGGCCACCAAGATCTTTCTCCAAGGACGGTGTGTTCTTGGCTGGCCCTGAGAGATGCGCTCACGAAGCAGACGCTCAAGATCGGTCATGTCGTTATGCTTGAACATGTCAATGACCGCCCCGGACAATCTGGCGCCAAATCGGATGGAAGAGTGGTTGAGCTGGTCGGAGATCAAGAGGCAGCCCTTGCCGACAAGTGCAGGGAAGATGGTTGCATTGGTGACGAATCCCATGGAGTAGATAGTGGCTGCTTCTTTGCCTACAAAGTTGGCGACCTGCTTCTCAACGTCGACATGGAGGTCGGATGTGCCGATGTCTGCTCTGGGTGAGCAGAAGGAGATGCCGTATTTTCGCAGGGTCTTCTCAGCCTCGTCCGCGCACTCACCCTCGGACTGAGCAAATCCAAGGTAATTGTAGGAGGACATGTTGAGGGTCTGGGTGGTGGTGCCTGTGAGCTTGAAAGACAGATTGTAGTCGTCGCTCTTGCGGTCCAGCAGGGTGATGAAGCGGCCTGGAACACCAGTGACGGGGCGTCTGAAGCAGTCATTAATTCGCAGTTGCAGTCGTCGAATGTAGAAGTTGTCAAAATCGGAGTTGAGCGGGGCGTAGCCATCGTGCTCCTTGAGCTGTTTATAGTGCTCTGGCCTGAATCGCTTGCCAAAGAAATCTCGCACGTGGCCGAAAATGATCAGGATGAGGTAGGAGATGTAGGTTGTGATCAAGTAGTAGTAGGGCGGCTCGTCCTCAATGGGGTCAGGGAAGTCCTCTCCAACGAATCGTGAAGAGTACAGATGCTGCTTTGAGCCCAATGGCCCGAAGGCGGCATGTTGTCGTGCAATGCGTCGCTGCTCGGAGGGCGTAGGTGGCTGGAAGAGGGTCAATGGCTCGGTTTTCTCCATCTTGCTCTTCTCGCCTGTGGCAGTAGTCAGATTGATGGTCGGCAGGCTCAGTGTCGGGATCTGCGGACTCGGCGGTCTGAAGCTCGGAAGTGGTGGGGCGTCTAACTTATTCGCCTGCTGCTGCGGTTCTGCAGTCGTAGGCTGTGTCTTGGCGGATTTCGGGGAAGTGTTGGAAAATGGCAGGGAGAAGCGTGGTCTTGATATGCGCCGCGTCTTCTGGGCCGGTTCGTCGAGCTCAATGCGGATGGATTCCTTCTCGGACAGCACGGTGTCGGCGGCGATGGCGACGGCGGGTGAGGAGGCGAAAGGGTTGAATGCGCGGATGGCAGGCATGGCGTCTGATGTCCTCGCGAATTAGTGATTAGTGGCCGTTCTGGTGTATCTGATGCAGCAGAGTCGAAGCTCTGTATATGCTATGGGCGTGTGCGCAGCGCAGCGCAGGCGCGAATACGTGGTGTCAGCAGTGGGCAGCGGTATGGGTGTGGTATGGGTGTGGTATGGGCGTGGAGGAGGGATTCGCTAGGGAGGCGCGGCAAGCGGCAAGGAGCGAATGCGCGGCGCAGCAGCGCGGCGACAGAAGGAGGGCGGCGATTATTGTAGTTGTAACAGCGTTAAAGAGTGTGGCAGTCAGGCAATCGCCGTCTCGGTCAGAATCCAAAAAGTCGGTGATGTCAAGGCGAAAGGATGTCGAGCTGCACGGCGACGCGAGACATCCGCTGTTCCCAGGCCAGAAGCCAAAAAGCCTCGCCAGGCCGCCGGCTCGTCCGGGGTGGCCAAGACGCCAGCAGCCAAAGCAGGTGAATGTGCGATGTTCGATGTCCGATGTTCGATGGCGATGTTCGATGGCGATGGCGATCGCAACTCGACGCTCTCAAACACGCACACGCCTGGCAATAATAATGTGGCGGTTTCGTGGTGTAGACTTGGTTGTATGCCGTCGCTCCCTTGCCCTGCCTCGCCTCGCCGTACCTTCGTCTCGCGAAACAGATGCAAGAAAGTGGAATGCTCACTCACTGTTCTTCCCGCCGCTATCCTGCTGCCCTGTCCTGCCGTATGTATGTGTCGCGTATAAGCCTCGAGTTCCGCTGACCTTATTACATCTGCCCGATTGACTTCTGTTTCCACCCTGTTTGCACCTATTCCTAGTCGCAATGACGCATATGACAGGCTATGCCCAATGCCAACCCCAATATCCCTCCCTTTGATGTCAGTCCACCACAACAACCAACTCCAACCTTGATCACGTCGTTTGAGAGGCGAGAAGTGCAGCAACAAGATGCGAAGGAGAACCAGACACAGGCATGGAAAGGCTTCTTCGATGCTATCAATCCGCTACCACTAGCTCGTCTGGGAGCACCATCACAACGGTCGTCTATTCGCCGGCACGCCAATTTCCGACAATTGATTAGGGATCCAGCGGCCTCCACCACACAACCGACTTTGCACAGCAACTGGTCACGCTTGAACGGCATCATGGAACTTCTTCTGTCCTGTGCTTCACTTTGTGCGCCCATGCTTTGGTAAGGCTGCATCTTGTTCGCACTGTTGCAGCTGATTGTTGTGACTGCGACAATTTTATGCACGCAGGCAGGAGCCACAATACCACATCCGCAAATCCTCCTTGTGATTAATTAGCCTGACGCTTAGTTCTGTCATCTCGGCTCGCGTATCGGGATCGCACTGCATCCTGATCGTGAACATCTTTCACGGAACTTTTGGGTGCTATGCAATGCTTGAGTATTGTTGTGAACATTGCACTGGCGTGTAGAACGGTGCACAGCTTTGGATACCTCTACAATTGCATGCGCAATTTCTGGCACAAGACACCACTACGATGCAAGCTGGACATCAAGGTGCTGCGTGTGGGAATTCTTTTAGAGAGTAAAGTGCACCGCTCTCGACATTCTTGCTGCACCACAATCTTGCCTTTCTACGGCCTACTAACTTCGGATACAGCAGGAGCCAGTCTTTGTAAGATCGCTGGGCTCCAGCGACAGGATTGTCTTACGCTGACAATACATACTGCCACCAGACAGGAGAGATTACATAATATGCTGCTCCACTCGGGCAAGACGCGTGCGACTACGCACTTATTCGCTCTGGCCAGGCAACTTGGGCCTCTTCGCGAGCGACATGAAGTATGCAACCACCGCAGGATAGTCGGCCATGACTCCAAGTCTCTCGATCCATGTTGGCACTCGCTCGGCAAAACTGGCAGCCATCGGTTTTGCCATCTTTTCCTCCTCATTGTTCATACAGCCCGCTCGCAGAATGTACAGCTTGAAGGTTGGCGAATACCCATACAGCTGACTCCCCTGTGCTGCAGCATTAGTCGCCTTCGACATCTATTGGGCTCAGAGAGACACACGCAATTCCCGCAAAACCACCTCTCAGTCGTGTTACCACTCTTGGTATTCGAATCTTCGTACTTCTTGATTACATCGGCCCCGGAGTCCAGTGTCAATGTCGCGTCCTTGTAATGCCGGATTGACGAGAACACGCTGCCACTCATACGTTGACAATTGTCGCAGGCGCAAATTACTCTGGTCAAGCGAACACCATTCAAGGTGTAATTGACAGCTTTACACAGACAGCTGCCTGTTTCTGTGGATGGCGCATCGAAGTCGGACATTGGGTCTGGTGAGTATGAATCCAGAGACCATATAGTAAAGCGGTGGAAAGAGGTGCTTGTTGCTCATAGAAGTGTCTGGAGCTGAAAACGAAGGATCCGCAAATCTCCGACTGTGCGACTTTCGATAATCGGGCCCCAATCCTTCGCCATCGAAGGAGTTGCAGTGTTCGCTGACGCCTTCAATTCTCGCATTATATCTTGGCCCACGAGAAAGACTACGTACGAGATTAGCACTTCTCCGATAGGTGCGAGGATTTATGCCCGTCGCCGACAGCAAAGTGACCACTACAATACCCAGCACTTTAATGCACATCCCCAAGCAAGTTATGACATCTTACCAGCACAAATATAGTAGGCATTCGTCGTAAGAGGGAGACTTCGCAAGGCGGGTTAGATAACCAGTATGATGTCAGCCTTGCTAGTTTAAGCAAGGGTCTGAATGGAGACAGATCTGTCCAAGATTCTAGCAGAATCTCCAGCGCATCGCAGATCAAATGCGAATAAGGCGGCGCATCACCATGCCGACAACATTCGGGCTTCACTTCATTGATCAGACTAGAAGTTGTGGCAAGTGGGGCGCAGGTGTTGCCTTCGTAATCTTTGTGGAAGTGAAAGTTGCCCTTCGACTTCTACCTTTCCATCGCGTAAACACATCCAAACAGCAACATGGCTGAATTTATCCACGCTCAGGCGAGTGCCGCAGTAGGTTCTCTGCGTGACTGAGACGTATAAAGTGATACTGACAGGATGACAGGGCGCTGCTGAGCATGAATCAGAAATCGCAGAGCTCACTGAGGCAATCACGAGCAAGTTGACCTTGGAGGCGGACGAGATCGAAGCTGAGGCCACCGGTCCGGTGAAGTGTCAACATAGCTCCAATGCATAGGAACGCGCTAAGGGTTAATAGCCCGCTGTCCTGCGTACATTTGCCATCACGGAACTCGCGGAATCGATCATGGATGAGATGGGTCCTCGCGAGCTCCTCATCTGTCAATGTGTTTGTCAAAAGTTTAGCGACATTTTTCAGCGCTCTGTCGAGTTCGAGCAACGCCTTCACCTGTTGCCTAAGCCGGGCGACCAGGGCCACGCACTACCGCCGGTGCTGCCACAGATCTTCGCAGAAGCCAGCATTCAGGTACGAGACACTGGCACCAGAATCGATTTCAGAGAAGAATTGCGATACGGGTCTTCATTCGGCGCTTCTTGGCGTGATATGCAGCTTGCATCGCCGCCTGTGAAGCAAGTGTCAATTTACCTACTTCGAGGAGAACAGGAAAAAGTGTTGCCTTTCATCGGTCACGAAGAGCTGGTTGATGAGGATGGGGTGACGATGGGTAGTATTTTCCTTGCTTTGCTTCGGCACCAGAATTGGAAGCGCGGAGACCACCTCGCTATCAGCTTCTAGACTGGCCTGGAGAGATGAACAGAGGTGGCATGCGTCGGCCCTCAAAGTTTTCAATACAAGCTATCCTGTTGCATTATGAAGTAAGTCTCGCTCAAGATTGATGCAAGACCGTTTGGCTTCACTTCGAGTCTTGGCATTTCAGCTGGAACAAAGTCTATTCTAATTTCCACGTTCCACGTCCTTTTCGCACAAGATCCACGGCTGCAGCGAAACGGGACAAAAGCAAAGCCAACGATCTGCTCCACACACCTTCGCGTGCTCGTGCTAGCCCTTGCTAACGCTTGACTCCAGATCTAAGGTAAGCTTCGACATCGACCTCGTCTCCGTGGTCACTGCTAACCTCAGCAAGCAGTTCAGAAGGACTAAAAAAGCAAAAACTCTAGGAATTAATCAAAATAACCACCTCAAAGACATTACAGCCATTCAACACTCTCTATAGGCCAAGTTATCCGTCATTCTCAACGCGGGACCTATATATACGTTCAAAAGCCAGCAGCCAATTACAAGTACAAAACCCGCTAACGGTCGAACGTCATTGTCAGTAAGCCGTCAACCGTGTTAGTGCGTGGCTTAATAGGTATTAGATACGAAGGTTTCGCTTGTACTCTTCGGAGTTTTCGTTTTGCTAATTCGTAGGATAGTAGCTAACTACTTTGAAAGTGAGGCTTAGGGTTCGAAGCTTCAGCCTACCTCCTTCTTAGGCTCTTCTTATAGACATTACCTACCTTCCATCTGTCGTAACCACCTTCTACCTTCTACCTTCTACCTTCTACCTTCTACCTTCTATCCTATTCTTAGCGTCGATCGGATCTCGGTTCTTCTCGATATAGTATAGTACTAGTAGAGATGTCTTCGTAAAGAGCCTAAGGACAAATGTCGCAATCTAGCTATTCTATCCTTATAGTATATAGGATATATTAAATAGCACAACAACTACACATTTTTACTAAAAGTAATATTAGAATCGTACCTAGGTATAATATAGATAAAGATGTTTGCTTATATAATGAATTGTGTATTTCTAAAGATGTAGAAATGAAAATTACAAAACGTTATTCTATAACAAACGCTATGCGAACAGTATCCGAATAGCCTTTGTCGCGGCACTAACTAACGCTATTTATATTAAACGAAATATGCGCGCTCCCTTAGAATTAGCCGCTCTCCAACCTCTAAGTGTTTACTATACGCGAAAGTGTCGCGTTGCTATATGCTAGGCCTATCGGGGTAGAATAGGCTAAAACACGGCTGTCTTAGTCTATGCGCTTTATATTCGCCTACTTAAATACACGTAACTTCGCGTATACTTATCTCGTATCTCCGTTACTGTTTCCGATATCGTATACGCATATATATATATATATAGCTCCAACACTCGCCTTAATTTCCGGACATAGCGCGATAGCAGACTACTTCCGCCTTAAATAGCGCAATAGTAGAACACTCCTACTCTATCGCCTAGTTTAAAGTATAGCTACCGAGGAAGTTCCTTAGTAGGCCTGCCTCGCTACTAGTAATAGCAATGCTATCCTTCGTTAAGACCTAGAAGAGTCTATTATTACCGACCGCTTCGAGGAGTATATTCGTTTCGAGGAACAGCGCCGCTAGCGCTAGCTTGCCTATTAGGCTAAAGGTCCGACTCTCTAGCGTATAGTCCGCGGATAGCGTACGCACCGCCGCTAGTTAATACGTACGGCTGCTCGTTAAGGTCTACCGCGCTAGCATCTATTAATAGACTTAACTTAGGGGGAGGTCGATAAGATCGAGGGCATTAAATACGACGATATCGTAGTTAGTAGCGATAGCGAAGAATATAAATGCGGCTACCTCTACACTTATTGTTATAAACAGTACGACTAGGCTAAATCCAACCTAGGCAGGTATTAGTCTAATCTCCCGCCTCTACGTATTGCGACTCTAGAGCTAGTCTATTATATAGGCGGTAGCTTTCTTTAGACCGGTAGGAATACTAATATTAGTAAGGGCCGTCGCAAGGAATAGCAACAGAAGAAGAAGCAGCAGGCTAGCAAGAATACAGCAGGGCGTCTAGGAAATACGTACGACCTACGCCGCTAGTAGTAGCAGCAGTAGCAGTAGCAGCCGCCGCTATAACAGGGCGTATAGCACGCTATGCCAATCCTACTATCTCGTAAAGCACACACCCGCTAGTAGCCAAATTAGTCTACTAAGAAGCTAGCTCTTCCGGAAGATTTATAGCAGAAGACCGCCTTCTTCTAGGCCGCGACTAACTATATACTAGACAAGCTATTTATATTAGAAGAGATTCAAATGTTAGTATAGGATACTAGTCTTAAGCGAGAGGCGATTCCTATCTAGCGGGACATTATTAAGAATAGCCTATAGTAGGTACTTAATGCCTTCTATCCTAGTAAGGGATATAAGCTATCGGATCTCTAATAGGAGGTGCTATACAACCTAGTATTCGTAGGGACGGATATTATAATAATCGAGAAGACCGGTAGTAGCAAGAGCTTAGTCTACTAGGCATATACTATACTAACTAGTCGCATTAATATCTAGATCATTCTATTAAACCGCCTTAGTAAAGAATAGAAGGCCGATATCGATTAGACTATACGTAATCTCGCACAAAAGAATATAGTTACTAGAGATAGCGGCGTCGAGTTAGTGCGTTGTTATATAATCTCTATAGAGACTAAGCGCAAGGATCCGAAGATGTACGATAATATCGTTGCTAGCAAATACTACTACATCTTCTATAGCCTAGAACAAGCGTCTACTCTAGAATTACGAGAGGTGTTTAAGAAGATTAGTAATCGCATCGGCCTAGTCACTATTAATAAGCTACATTTAGTATATAAGTAGAAGGATTTCCGCGAGGAGTTTGCTTAAATCTATACGCTTCGCAGCCTGTTTCGTACTAATACCCTTTAGCTAGGTGCCTCTACGACCATTTTATAGGAAACCTTAGAGTTTATATTAAAGAATAGCGGTTTCCGTAATAATAGCCGCGAGGCATTTAAGACTAAGGTTATCTATGCGAGCATTGACTGCATTAATACTACGTACATCTTTAAGACTATCCCGCAAAAGAACCGTAGCGATTTCGACTTGCTATATCTATTGCTAAAGAAGGCCGTTACCGATAGATAGGCTATACCTACGAATATCGACAAGGCGATTGTATTTATTAATAGCCGTAGCAAGGTCGACAAGCTAACTTATATTCTGCGCTAGTAGCTTGTTCAGATAACAGCAGACTAAGAAGATCCGACTAAGAAGTATACCTAGAATAACACTAGCTATAATGTGTACAAAGTGGTCGCTTTTTACACTACGTACGTCGCTAATTACGATAAGGAGGTCCGATATAATAAGTTTAAGAAGCCTAGTACTCGGTCGTCGACGCGTATAATAGTTAGCACTCTAGCAATTGCTATAGGCACTAACATTAGCGATATTAAGTTTGTTATTATATAGCAGCTGCCTATTACTAAGGATATTGATAATGCTATACAGCGAGCTAGTCGTACTAGTCGCAAGCTCGGCGCAGGATAGCGATTATATACTATCTTCTTCTTCCCTTAGTACATCGATAATGCGGCAAAGCGAGTTCTAGATAGTATTGACTATGCCTCTGTTATTAATCGAGACGGTAGACCGGCTAATACCGACTAGTATAAGCAGCTCGCGTAGGGCGCTATCGCATACTAGCTATATCGACTAAGCGGCTTACGCAATATAGAGATCCCTAGTAAAGATAATAGAGGCGACTAGGACGAGGATAATAAGGATACTACTATCGTAGTGCCGAGAGGTACGGCCGCTCGAGAAGCTTAAGAAACAGCAGTAGCTAATGCTGCTAATGCCGCTTCTGCTCGCAAGAACTAGTCTAAGAGTGACATAGAAAAGCGTAATAAGATCCCCGACATCTTCCGCCTACTGTTTAATAGCTAGTATATAGTAACGCCTCGTTGCCTACGCGCTATACTAAATGAGCGATACTAGGAACACCTCCGTATATAGGATCCTAAAGAGAGCCTAGATCCGAAGGATTGTTGCAATATAGTCTACAATCGCGATCTTAACTTAGTATTCTAATAGGATGCAGAAGCGCTATATCTACTAAAAGCCCTAGTCGTACTATAGAAGGGTTCTAAGCAGTCCTTCTTGCTGCTATACCTATAGAAGTTCTTTAATCGCAAGGCTAATAAAGCTAGCGGCCGGTTTGATATATACTTCTTCAACCTCCTATCTAATACACTTATCGATAACCGGTATGTTTAAGAGCTCTATAATGTAATACGGCATCTAGTACTTAGCGATACGGAAGAGGCGTCTACTAGAATAAGTAGATAGGAAGTGCTAGATAGTGCGCCTAGGTTTGATACCTAGTATTAGGCTAGCGGCGAAAACCTCCGTAGCAAGCTAGGCCTTAGTAAGCTCCTTATATATATTAACCGTAACTTTCGTAAGGCTTTCGAGGAGTGGGAGAAGTATTATAAAGAGCGGAAGCGCAAGCAGGCCGAGCGTAAGCAAGTAGCGGAGGCAGAGACGGATAATAGTACTACTAACAATTAATCCGCTACTTAGCTAGCACTACTAACAGTACAAGAACGCCTCCGCCAATTGCGCTAGGACTCTAACAAGTCTCGCGATACTAATATATCGCTAGTAAAGAAGGCCGTTATAGGCAATCGGAAAGCTAAGAAGTCGCAGTCGCAACTAGCTACTAAGAAGGCGATAGGTAAGCGTATAGGAGATCCTATTTAGGGCAGTACTGCTTCCTTATCTGCTCGCACTCTAACCTAGCAGACCCTACGCCGTTAGCGGAACGATAAAGACGGTAAATATAGCACTCTAATATCGGTCGCTAAGTCTGCACTTCGTAATACTATAAGTACCCGCCTACGCCGCAGCCGCTCGCTAACTATTAAAGTACGAGAGAATCTTGCCTTAGCTAGTAAGGACATTCTACCTAAGAATCTGCTCGAAGAGAGTCTAACTCGGGCTCGTAGGCAGCGATAGAGCTAGACTATGCTATACTTAATAAACTAGGCGGAGGCTAATAAACTAGGCGGAGGCTAATAAACTAGGCGGAGGCTAATAAACTAGGCAGAGGCTAATAAACTAGGCAGGGCAAAAGGCGAGAACTGAATGTAGCGTAAGACTATCCTACTGCTATCGCAGTAGTAGAGTAGATATACTAAGAGAAGACACATTAGGTTGCACGTTCCTTACCCTTTCGTAAGGAGCCCTATTGCTACTGTTGCTGCTACTGCAAGATCGTATGCTATAGAGTATCTATCGCCCTCTATACTGCGGCATTGAATCCTTTAATAGCATCCTAGACTGCCCTTTAATCTCGACTAGTTAGTTAATCTCGACTAGTTGACTAATCTTTATTAGCCTCTTGCTCTCCTTCTCGTTCCTTAACCTTAATATAAACATTCGTTGCTACCTTTGCCTTTCCCCTTACCTTTCCCCTTACCCTTGCCTTTACCTCTGTATCTATCTTCGCATACTTCTATACAAGTCGATAAATATACTATGCTATAGTATACTAGCTCCTAGGCGGCTGTCTAGGCTCTCTAGCAGTATTATATATCTCTGCAATCTCCTACTATGTTATACTAGTGCTACGCTTCGTACCTAGAACAACCGTAGCCCTTATCTCTTCGCTAAGGTAGTCGTCTAAGTCTAAGGATAAAGAGTCGTCTCGTAATAAGGATGCTATATCGCTATCGCCTTATAATGTCGCAGAGATAGAGATGTTGCTAGCTCGAGAATGATAATAAGGAAGAGGTCGCGATCCGTAAAAGGAAGAAGTCGCGATGCCTATTCCCGCTAATCGGGCGCTTTGCCGTACTAAAACCGGAGTCTTAGCGGGATCCGAATCCTAGTTCCTTCTAACTCGAGACTACGAGCTTTTATAATACGATACTGCTAATAACAATACGACGCGCTAGCCCGCTAGCTAGCTAGCACGAGATACGTCGATTAAGCGCGTTTCTAGTAAAGCGCGCTAGCAAAAGTGTCTAATACGATAACGACGGTCGCCTTAGGCATACCGATGTCCTATCTCGAGAAGTCCTCGCTTACTATACCTTCTAATATTAATACGACGCGCTAGCTAGCTAGCTAGTACGAGATACGTCGATTGAGCGCGTTTCTAGTAAAGCGCGCTATAAAGAAGTCGACGGTTGTTTAGGTTATATTAAAGCGAAGAGGCTAGAGTTAGCTATAAAGAAGTCGATAACTAACTAGAATACTATACTTATTGCACTATATGCTCTAGTTAGCAGGTACTACAACATATACGGTAGAATAGAAGCGTAGGGCGATAATATATAACGAGCGCTATAAATAGTATCTCTTCGAGAACCGCCGAAGCGACCTCTTACGTCCTCGCCCTCCTTTGAACCTCTCCCTAAAACTAGAGGCCTTAGTTGCTATATAAGGCAGAGAAATGAACAATAGCGTTTATAGGGATCTAATATAACTAGCGGTTTAAGGGCCTACTAGGAGCATACTATAAGAAGCATACTAGAAGCATACATTGCCTATAAGCTTACTCTCTCGCTAGCTATTAACGCATTCTATTACTAACTACAGCACCGAAGTAAGTAGAACAGGCATTATTAAGCGTATAACACTAGCGAACTTAAAGAGTTAGAAACTAGGTACCGACTAAAGCTACCTAGAGAACAATAGTCGAACCGCGCCTAAAGTTGTTAAAAAGACAGTATTAAAAAGATATGCCCCTAGAAGCCTAATACGTGCTACGCACTGCTTCAAGCAGTCTTAATACGCTCGGTCTCGCGGATAGGGATACGCACTACAGGTGTATAACAGTCTTAATGCGCTCGGAGGGAAGGGGGGGTACGCACTACAGTTGTCTAGTAGAGTCGATGCGCTTACTACAGTCGTATAGCAGTGCCCTTATAAAGACGTCTTGCTTAAGGACGCCTATTCGTACCGCGGAACTATAGCATTAATAGCTCGCTGCCTAGAGGCTATGTCCGATATCGTACGCTCCTAATCGCCGAATTTGCAAAGGCTACGTTATACTAAGCTTAACTAGATATACGTATAGTATCCCGAGAAGAGCCTAATATAGAAAGCCTGTTATAGTAATAGACAAGAAGACTATCTAATGCGGAATTACCTAATAGTAATGCTACTATAGAACAGCTATACTAAGACTACGATTGATTCCTAAACCTACTCGCTAGGAGAGTTACCTTTCGGCAAAGCCTATCGGAGACTAAGAAGGACTAAACAAACAATACCTGTTAAGGGACCTCGACCAATTCTAAGCGGTTCTGTCGGTAGCAAGTCGTAGAACTAGTAAGGAATAGTGTTAATCGCAGCAGAGAGCTACTTCCACTTGCGACAAAGAGGTATCGATACTATTAATATCGACGCCGAAGCGAATGCGCAGATAGCTAGTATGTTAACAGGGGTAGAGGTATTCACTGTCGCTAGTTACGCGTAAGGCGGATACCGGTATATAGTATAGTTAATGTAAAGAAGAAGAAGAAGAAGTTAAAGTTAGAAAGCGAAGGTCTATCTGCGTAGGTAAGGTTAAGCTACGTAGTCGATAATAGGTAGCAATAACGGCTATACATTACCTTACTAACTAACCCGCTCCTTTACGGTAAGAGCGACATTATTTACTAGACGCTAGCATGTAATAGATTGTGCCTAAGGCCGCTCCGTCGTCCTAAGTAGCGCAATAGGCCCTAGGTCGAGTACAGTGTATAGCAGCAGGAACAAGCTGCGATAGCTATAAGACAGCAAACTCTAATTAGTACTATCTCTTTAGATGCACCTTATCCTGCTATAGGTTATCTAGCGGCCTAGCCGAAGCCGCGATCTTATCTAGGAACCTATATAAGAACTATCTTTCTACGACCTTCCTTCCTAGAGCTATTACCAACCTACTAGAGCTATCTTTCTACGACCTTCCTAGAGCTAGCTAGCTAGAAGGACGCCTATCTAGTTAACTTTATCGAGAAGCTACTTGCTATCTAGGGCTAGCTAGCACGAGATACGTCGATTAAGCGCGTTTCTAGCAATTAGCGCTAGCAAAAGTGATTAATACGATAACGACGGAGACTAGAAGTAAGACACATTATCTCAATCTACTAATCTATACTCGCTGTCTATTGTTCTAACGTCGTCCTTCTAGTATAGTATTCGATGCGAATTTTCTAATTGTATCCTCTACAAACCCTATTCTATTGCTAACGCCGTAGCAAGAGCTTCGTCTTTATCTAAGTCTAGATCCTAGAAGTCGGCATAATCGAAATAGCTAGTAGCAGCGGCGGTCTCTTAGATAGCGCTATAGATAATTGTTAGGTCGTTCTCGTTATCGCTAGGTGCTATATCGCGAACTAGGTTACGCGCGGCGTTATTAGACTAAAGGATATCTGAATTCGCGAGTGCTACGTTATATAGCATAGCGCTAGCTATAGTAAAGAAGCCGAGATTGCTACTATTAATATCACCGTTATTGCTACTACTACTGCTACTACTATTGCTATTGCTATCTCCGCCTAAGGCCTAGACATATCCTACTAGAGGTAGAGCATCGCCTAGCTAAGCAAAGCTATTAGCATTTATGTATAGCTCGTCTGCCCGGTCAATAGCGCTAGCACTAAGTAGCCCGTAATCTCCGCTATACCTACGAGCATCTACGCTATCGATACTATCTATACTATTACTAGCTGCCTCGCTTGTACTAAGTATTACGCATAGCGAGCGCATACGGTGTGCTTCGTTTAGAGCCTTAATTGCTAGTACTAGTTTCTAGATCCCTATCTGCTAGATATTATCTAAGAGGGCACGGTTATCCTTATCGATATTATTACTAACCGGCTGTCGCTCCGCAAGCCTATCTCGGAATAGCTTGTCTACTATGCTTATTATATTAGTTACGGCGTTCTTGTTGGTATAGTAATTGGTGCCTTCTACGCTAATCGCGGACGTAAATATCTTCTTTAGGGCACGAGCAGCACGTCGGTTTCTAGCCTTCTTGCGAGCGATAGCGGCTATATTATAGGTCGAGTTGCTAAAGTGGTTCAGGTCTAGCGTAAGGTCGTTGTTAATAAGCTCAATTTCCTTATCTATAGCGATGCCCTTGCCTCTCTTGCTAGATAGATTGACGACAGATATAGCTATTAACGAGTACCCTAATATATAATCCTGTTATAGCAACTATCGGAATTCTAGTATATGCTTAGCGTAATTGGTCTGGTTGGTACTAAGGAATAGAACGATTAGGTAGTCGACTATCCGCTTAAGATAACCGACGTCTATCTTCCGAATAGCGGTACGCATAGTTATTAGTTCCTCGATCTGTATTAGCAAGCGGTATATCGTAATATAGTCGGTATCTTGTACAAGCACCTTATCCTTATTAGCATACTTGTTCTACTATGCCTCCTTAGTAAACGCCTTCTTCTAGATGTTCTTAACTAACCGAAAATACTAATCTAGATCTAGATTCGAAACAGTAGTCTTTAACACCTCGATGCGGCTCTTTAATTTATTAGTATAGTCTAGCAAACCCTCTAAGTCTAGCTCGTGCTAGAATAAGGCAACAATGCGGCTGCGGAATATGCGATATAGCAGGTTCAAGATAAGGAAGTACTTCGGGTTGTCTTTACTAATGCCTTTTATCGTATAGAACAAAGCATCGTCGACTAGACAATAAGCAAGCCGCGCTTCTTCGGAGTTCTTATCGAAATGGGTCTTAATAATGCCGAATGCCTTATTTATACAGATATGCAACTAACTAGGCACAATAACGCCCTAGTCGTATCGATCGTACGGACGCTCTAACTTAACACCCTCTAATTAATAACTGTTAAAGCGAGCGCATATTATCTAGTCTCTAACGATTGGATATAGACGACTCTTCCTATCTCGAACAGGATCTGGATTGCCGAAGTCCTTATCCTTATTGAGCTATATATTGTTAAGGAAGATGTCCTTTAGTACCTCCTTAGATCCGGTAATTAATACCTCGTTATTCATCGATAGCTTTATTAGCACTAGATCGTTAGCATCTTCCGGATCCATTATATCTATCTCTAGCTATACAAAGCGCTCAATATTAGTGCCTTGCTAGACGTACTAAGTACTAAGCCTAATAGCTGTATCAATATTACGTATTGCGATAGAACGGTATCGTTCGTCGAAGTCGTAGTTCTCGAATACCGCCTTTAGCTCCGGTCCGAATATAACACCTAATGCCTAGTCTATATAATATAGCGAGAGGTATTTACGAGTCCTATCCTTCGCATTATCGGCAAGGTTGTCTAGTATATGCTTATAGCTAAGCTATAGGTCTAGATTTAGCATATCCTTAGTTAGACCTTCTTCTAGGATGCGCTTATTAATGCCAATATATAATGTAGTTATGTTTAGTATCTCCGTGCGATCGCCTTGTTTCTAGATACCCTTGCGATTCTTCTACTTTACGAGATTGTCGTATACCGAGAAACTCCGCTTATTACGAGCTATTACAATAACGCGCTAGTCCTAAACCGCCTTAGTCTTCCGCATTAGCACCTAGATCGTACGAGCGGCGCTAGATAAGCCTATATTGTTAATAATACTAATAATATAGTATAGCATACCGCTAGTAACTAAATATAGGCCGAATTGCTTACTAAATACGGACGCCTTCTTTAGCGAGATCGAACGAACAGCTATCTATATTATTACCGCGATACGCTTACGGAGGCGATCCTACTTGTATAGAAGCTATACATCTTCCTTATCGATCGAGACCTTCTTGTTTAGAAGCAGCTTACGTAGAAGGTCAACCTAGGTTAGCGCTACCTCTTCGATAATACCGTATATCTCCCGCAAGTCAACCTCCTATATCGAATCCTCTAGCTTGTACTAGTTAAAGAATCGCTTGCTAATAAGCTTCTTTAGCTTATTACGAATAACCCGAGCTAAGACGATATGCTTATGTTTTAGTGCAGCTATAGACTAGCGAATATAGTTGCGATAGGTCTTGTTTAGCTTCTCGCTATACCTATTAAACATTATTATCTACTGCTTTAGCGGCAACCTAGCGCGCTTTATCTCTCCGAAGATATTAGTATACTTCTGCTCGCGGGTACGACGATAGCTACGGATACGCTAAGTGCCTCGAGTCGTCCGATTGCCGCGATCTCCGCCTTGCTAAAGACCTACGGCGGCGGCGGCGGCTAGTCTCGCCTGCTATCGAGTCTAGCGGCGTAGAGCTACTATACCGCTAGTATCTTCCGCTCGTTTATTATCCGCCTACTTATTACTATTATCGCTATCCTCGTTATCGTTATCGCTAAATGGATTGATAGCCTTATCTTCCTTAATAGGAGCCTCTTCCGCCTCTTCTAATACGACATTATTATCGCTTATCTTATCCTACTTATACGCCTCTAGCTCGTATATGTCCTTATTAGCGACCGCTTATAACAATGCCTCTCGACGCGCTTCGTCTTTATTGCGCTTATTGCGCTCGTTCTACTAAAGGGCAAGGTCTATATTAAGCGTAGCTTGTATCTCCGCCTACTAATCGGAGTCTAAGTTCATTTTAGACAGCGGCTCGGATAAGAGGTTAGGGTCGAGGTATAGCGGCGCTAGACCGGATAGCGCGTTAGGTAGGTTAGAGTCAGAGTTAGATATATTAGCGGCAATAATAGTACTAGACGCGAGTGTTAGCGGCAGTGCGAGTACTAGATGCGAGTATTAGATACGAGTGTTAGATGCGAGCGCTAGCGGCAGTACGAGTGCTAAATACAGGCAGAAGAACGGGCGTCCGTACTACTGTTATACCTGTAGCTTAAAGCGGCAAGGCTTTGTTAGTTGGACCCACTTAACTAAGGAAGTATAAAGCGCTTGGTTTACGACTCACGATTTATATATAAAGATAGCACGATTAGTCGCAACGCCGATAAGACTTCGTCAATATGTAGTAGTAGTAGTAGTAGCAGTAGTAGTAGTAGCAGCAGCACCTCTATAAATACGAGATCGATTAATGCGGCATATACGATATTAATTAGCGCGATAAACGACAACCTATAGGAAGCCGTATACGAGAATCTTCTACTACTTAGCGCAGAACGGAGCGCAATCAGCGATAAGCATAATCCACGATAGCCTATAGTGCTGGCCTATAGTGCTAGCCTATAATGCTGGTCTATAATACTAGCCTATAGTACTAGCTTTTGTCGATAGATTTAAGCTAGCTAAATAGCCTCCGCTACTTAGACATAATATAACAATACTACGCTCTACGCATATATCGCTCGCATTAAGGTAATCTAGAAATAGCCGCTCTACAACCTCCGCATTGTCGCTTATCGATATTCGAAGGTCTCAATTCTAGTAAACAAGTTAGCTTTACTCGAGGGCTAGTATTTAGCAGGCAGGTATTAGGGATATACGTAGTCTATACAAACAGTATTTAGAAATAGTCGCTCTACAATCTCCTAGTCTTAGATGTGTATATTTCGTGTATTAGATATTAGGTAGTTAGACACTGCACTAACCCGTCGTATACCTATAGCTACCTATATTAAATATCACTTATTTTCTTAACAACTACGCGTTGCATTTAAATACTATATACATAGAATAACTTAGAATTGACGGGACAATAAGATGCGAGTGCTAAATTACGAGATTTTACGCTAGTTAATGACCTAGTATTTTTATAAGGACTGCCTCTACAGCTTTGCGACATTTGTCCTTAGACCCTTACTAGCGCAAGGAGGTTAGTATGGTGGTGTAGGTCCGGTCGCGTAGTAGTCCGATATAGATTGGTAGTAGTAGTAGTAGTAGTAGAAGGAGTATAGTAGTGGAAGGCAGGCAGAAGACCCACACCTACTACACTTCCTTACGCTCAGTCAGCAAGGGTCTGAACCGGAGATAGGCTTCAGCTTTTTTGCTTCACTTCTCGAGTCCACCCCACTTTTTTGTTTGTATACGCGCTCGCTAGGCGCTTGGCTTCACTTTCTTGTCGATCTTTGAACGTGCCTTTTGTTCTTCGACATACTCGATGTGATCGAGATGTGAACCCTGTCCGGTGCGATGTCGTCTCTGGGTTCAGCTCTGGGGAGCAATCGTGACAGTCGATCGCAGCCAGTGTGTCAATGTGGAGCAGCATTCAACATTTCTGATTGCCGCCTCACAGCTCAACGCCCCCTCTCGCATGTTCGCTATCACTGAATTGGCAGAGGCAATTCTGAACGAGTTACCACCACGCGATCTCCTCCTCAGCAACGCGTCTGCATTTTCCAGCACAACCAATAAGAGACAGCATTGATCTTTCGGTCGCTAATGTGCCTTCCCTGCGCGAGCTTTCACAGAAAACTGTCATGGTGAGCCATGCAAGTTCCATCACCACCACTTGTGGCTGGCGGGATGGAAAGCGCGACGTGTGAAGGCGTCTCATCTGCAGACATTCGATGCCAACGAGGCTTCAGTTGAAATTAGATTCAATAGGAGCGAGTGTCGGAAGTCTGTTTCGACTGCGCCAAGGACATCGGGGGGATATGCGGGCAGCAGAGAGCCCGAGAGTAGCGTAGTTCTGCTTTCAAACTTCTCGATGGATTGGGTTCTGACTGTAGACGTAGTTAATGATGTTCATGATTTGGTGCTGTGCCTTCCAAACTCACCCTCACATTCTTGGCGTGCACCTGCCATTTGTCTTGTGACGTGCTTCGTGATGTTCATGATTTGGTGCTCTGCCTTCCTCATTCACTCTCACATTCTTGGCGTCACATGCTTGGCGCACACGTGGCAATTTTCTCGGGCCGCGACTTCGGCTTCTTCTTCTTCTTCTTCTTCTTCTTCTTCTTCCTTTCGAGTATTGCTTCGCCACATCAACAACAAAACTTCAGCATCGAACCCTCGAATCGCTTCATCATGCCACCGAGAAATGATGGCAACATGGAACCACCGCCACTAGTGAGTCTTGCTTCTTTCTCTTCTGTAGCTGCACTGCAAGAACTAACAACAGCCAGAGCGCCGCCACTCGCGTGTTTGGCATCACCGAGCTCGCTGAGCAGATACTAAGCGATCTCTCGCCACGAGACCTGTTGATAGTCCAGCGTGTCTGTCCGAACATACGCTACACCGTGCAAGGATCCAGCGCGCTCAAGAAGCAGGCTTTTCTCAGTCCATCGAATGGCGCCGACCTGGAGCTACTCCCGGACGACCTCAGACCGCCGCACATTCGCTCTTTGTACATCTTTACCAGCGGCACCAGTTGGGCTGTCGACGCTCCTTATACCTCCTCCGTCAGCCTATACCTAGACCCAAAGTGCCAGATTGGCTATGGGGAGGAATCCTGGCGCAAAATGCAGGTGTCTTCGCCCCCAGTCATTCGCGGTAAAATTTGGGTCCGGAATCGTCGTCGCAGAACTTACAGTGAAAGGGACCTGAGGAGTGCTCGTGGTGGTTTCACGTTGGGCGACCTCGCTCAGGCTGCAAATCGGCTGCGGCAGGGAAAGCATAAGTTGAAAATGATTTCGTTTTTCCTCCACACAGACATGAACGAAGCTCGGGACCCACTTCCTGAGTGCTGGGTTTACTGAAGCGACGAGCCTTCCACTGAACGTATGATCGGCTCTGATTGCAAATGTCGTGGTATGGAGCATGGATTTCAAGCAGCAGCGACGCGGAGGACTTGATCACTACTCGACCGATCCCGGCGGAAGGTTTCAGAAGAAGCTATAGTTGGGAGATCGCAGTGCCAGTTGTGGCTTGGTGGAGTTGGGAGAGCGCGCAAGGCAGCGGGTGTTGCATTGCCCAGCAATCTACGCAGCCTCCATTGCATAATATCTTTCGTCTTGACCTTCTGCCTTTCTTTGGCGATTTTGATGACAAGGGAACTATATTTTGAGCCGTATTCGCTGAAAGAAAAGCCCCAACTTAGGCCAAATCACGGACGCTGCATCTCGCGTGACCCATGAAAGATATCCAGGCCTCCATGGCTTTCATTTCAGATTGGGCCCAGATCGCTGATGATGGGAAGCTATCCGCTCATGATGACGAGAAGAGCCGCTGGATCGCGGGGAGGGGCGGAATAAACAGCAAGGAAGCGCGGTCTCTCAGCTAGCACCGGGTATCATGTTTTGGTTGGGGACGGACATGCTATTTAAACGCTTGGAACGCTCTGCAACTCAAAGCACACGGTCCGATCCTCTAGTCCTCGTGAGTGACCGCGGTGTCCAGCACTTCTGCTCGCGCTTTGCCCTTCGTGTGTTCACTGATGAAAGCACTGAGCGTCTTGTACTCTCCAGGTACAACGAATCCTACGCACTCCCACTCCGATCCAGCGGTGTCTTCGGTCTCCACCTGCTCCACGAAGCCCAATATCTTCTCCTTTACAGTGCACGTCTGCGGCTCCTCGCCCTCCTTTGCTGCTGGAGTCTTGACGCTCTGCTTGAGTATGCTTGTTGGACAAGTAATTCGCAGTCTCATTCTCGCTCGTGCCACGGGGATAGGCTGGTGAGCGATGAGAGCCTTGATGGCATCCAAAGCCTGGCTCTTAGCACTCCTAGTTGTCACCACACCGGTCCATTTCGGCTTAGGCTTTTCTTTCTCCTCTATCTCACCGTTCCTAGCAGGCGTACTCGAACCGCTCTCGGCAGGTGCACTCTGATCTCTGCTCTGACTCCTGTCTGCTCCACCTGCCGAACCCTTTGCAGGACCTCGCCCCGCATGCCCACCCTGAGATGATAGCTGGTCCAGTGACTTCTCGATCATGCCAGTGGTATAGACTCTCTTCGTCTTCGGATCCACCAGTCGTCCAGCCACAATTTCCAGCACTTCCTTGTGTACTCGCTCCAGTTCTTGCCCTCTCTCCTTCTCCCCGACCTGAATCTCACCCTTCTTCAATATTTCCAGTACCACCTCATCTCTCGTCATACCAGGAAACGCTTTTTTCAGTTCATCGTTCGGTGCCACCTGACCTTTCGAAACGTTGAGAAAGACATTTGGAATCTGTAGCACATCGTCGAGATTTGTTTCAGTTCCGGATCGGAAGGCCGTGACAGTGTTCTTGTAACAGGCGACTTCAAAGCGCTTCTTGCCCTTTTTCATGCGCACAAGCGACACGTTTGTCAACTTGATCTGGTTGGACGGCTGGTTTATTTGTGCGGATGGCATTTTGGCGGTATGGTTCTCTTGTCACTGCTGGGTGGGGGTTTGATGCCTTCGAAGAGGCTCCTCTGTGCGATGGATTTTTTCCCGAATATGGCAAGGCGATGAGCGGCTGAGTAGGTTTTCGTCGTTGTGTAGAGGTTGTGAAGCAAATCTGTGCTTGGGTTATGGAATAAATACTGTGAGCTCGGAAATTCGCAAGATGTGAGGACGTCGACTCAAGATGACGCAGAGTTTGGCGCCTCAGTAGGGAGGCCCATACATACCAGATTGTCAATGGAGGTTCTCACCGCCTCTACTAACCCACCTCTACGACCAACTTTCTATGTTTGCCCTCGCACTATACTCGCTATTGACTCGCAAAATGCCTCTACGTATCGATCTCTCGCTATAGAGGGCTTAGATAACCTTATAGGTTAATAGCGGCACTATATAAGGCGAAATCCTATAGCACCTTATATAAGAGACTAGTTACTAGATAGCTCTTTCTACGCTTTGTCGGAGGCTTAAGGAATAGGGGGTTAATTATAGCTATTACGCTTACTATAACCGAGTTAATAATGTCGAGGTACTAAAGATCCGAGTCGTATATACCTTCTCCGCTTTACGCTTAACTAATAAAGAAGCGGTTAAAGTACTAAAGATAGATAGATTTAATATTAGCTAGCGGAGATATCAACGGATACGTTAAGAGCTTAGATTAAAGAAGGCATTATCGCGAGATAGATAGATAGAAGCAGAAGAGGAGATAGTAGAGGTCTTATAGGAAGAGCTCGAGAAGTCTACGGTAGAGTCCTTCGGCCGACGGCACCTATATACCTATATTAGGTCTAAATATAATATTATTAGCAGAGATCGGCTATATCGTATAGCTTACTTACTAAATCCTAAAGGGTTACGAGTCCGCCGCGAGCGGGCGCGAGAGCACTATAGAGCGATTGTTATACTAGGCCCTAGCTACGCAATATTAATAGATGCTTACTATAAATTCGAGCATTAGGGGATATAGATCTACGTAGCTATTAATGTCCACTCGCGTTACATTATCTAGGTCTACGTAGGGATTACTAGCCGTATAGCTATATCCGTACTCGCTTAATATATTATAACGATTAAGAATAGTAGTATAATACTACAGATTATCCAATTAGACTATAGGGCGGAAACGATTCTAGCCGCGGACGCTTACTATACGACTCGCCTTACGACTCGTAGTAACCTAGAACCGGAACTAGAACTAGAACCACTAGCTTTCGAAGACTGCTTTAAATACGGTACGAGCAAGATAAACTAGCGGATCGAGGTATAGTAGCGCTAGCAAGTACCCGTATTAAATAGCTAGAGGGGCTATTTTTACGAGTTGCTACGCGAGTTACTATACGATGCTGAATTGCTAGCCGATCGGATTGCCTTCCTTATAATCTATATACCAATTATGCGCTATAAAGTCCTCGAATTTGTTTACCTCTAGAACAGCTATCGGATTAGGAAGCAGGCTAATCGACTATACGTCGTACTAGGTATTCCGTATATTCTATACTATTATCTAGAGCTAAGCGGGCATTCTTATTAAGGTATTCCTATACCTGATAGCGTACTTAATAATATAGAGCAAGACCTTTAAGGATTCGGTATATATTAGATTCTATAGTACTCGCTATAGACTCGCTATAGACTCGCTAATAGACTCGCTAATTCCTAGATCTTAAAGCCTACCTACCCGAGGCTACGCTTACTTAGTGTTAGATAGTATTATAGACTCGCGGCTTCTCGTATCTAGTTAGTAGTAGCGAGAATAATAGCGATAGAGAGCGAGTTTACCGCTAGGTATACTTACTTCTTCGATAGCTAATTGCCGAGCATATAGCTATAGGGTTAGGGCCTAAACTAATAGAGTTGGACAAGCTATTAGTAGCTCGTAATTGGACGTTAGGTAGGGCGAATACCGGGGCTAGATTGATTGAGTTTGTAAATAATATATACTAATCTAAAATAAGGGATTTGCGAGCCGGCCGCGAGCCGGCCGCGAGTCGCTTATTTCAGTTCTATTTCCTTCTTAATCTTTCAATTCCTATCTTGTTCTACCTCTATACTACTGCTATAGTTCTACCTTAGTTCTACTACTAACAATGCCTGTCTAGGGTACCTTTTGTACTGTTACCGGCGCTAACTATGCAATACTATTAAAAGCATACGCATTCTGTAACCAATGTAGTCTTAAGAACCCTAATCTACTAACCGAGCGATTTGTACGCGAGCCGTTAGTAGCAGCCGCTACTACTGCCGCTACTACTGCGAGTTTAACTACGAGTATAGTACGAGGCTTTAATGCGTTCCCTTCTCTACCTAAGGCGGCGAATACTATACGCAATGCTGCTATTTAGTAGTATAAGCCAACTTCTCGACTAAATGCTAGATCTCGGAGCCTCTCGCAACGTCTACTAATACCTATACAACTATTAAAGGAGCTAACAAAGGTATTATTTACCTGCCGCTATTCAGTTTTTAGCTAGCGAGTAGAGGTTTCTCGTAGGGGTAGAGTCGACCTATAGGAATATAATCCGCTAGTCCTATAGACTTCTATTACTAATATCTGGTCTAATAAAGACTTCGAAGAAGCTAACATATTACTTATAGACTAGGTTCTTAGTCGGATTAACGCTAAGGACCTACCGCAAGGTAGCGTCTATTAGGTCGACGACTATACGGACTACTTCTTCTATACTAATTTCGATAATAAGCGCTTGTTACTAGAGAAAGTCGCTTCTAAAGTACTCGGCCTAGGACTAGTTAAAGAGGCTCTTATACTCTTCAAATTACAAATAGGAGGGAAAGCAACAAAGCAGCTACTAATCTATTACCTTAAAATCTATATCTAACAATAGCGGAAGCTACAGCAATAAAGGTAACTAAAGCGGAAGCACCGGCTAAGTACTCCTACTACGAGTAGTAGCGCGAGTGCTATAGCGAGTTAGGACGGGGTTGTTCTATCTATAGAGATTAAGTAAGAGAAGCTATAGAAAGAGAAGGTAATCGATACTAAAAAGCCGCCTAAGTTTATTAACCTAAGCGGCGAGGACACCGCGAGGCTACCGCGAGTTACGCCTATTCTAAAAGAGTCGAGCGAAACTAAGGACTAGCAAGATAGTTAGCAAGATAGTTAGCAAGAAGGCTAGTAAGGCTAGCAAGGCTAGTAAGGTTAGTAAGGTTAGTAAGGTTAGTAAGATAGCTAGCAAGATAGCTAGTAAGATAGCTAGTAAGATAGCTAGCAAGATAGTTAGAGCGGATAGAAGAGTTAGAAGCTAAAGCGTGCTTAGAAGCTAGTTAATCTATTGTCTATAGAGATACGATCGAAGAAGAAAGGAAATTGAAATGTAGACTCGCTATAGACTCGCTATAGACTCGCTCCTTAAATATTATCTACTAGTAGCTCGCGATCGCTATTTAGCTATAGCTCCTTCTATATCGTATATATATCCTTAGACTTAATAATAGCCTTATTCTTAAGCTATTTAAACTACGAGAGGCAATATCCTTCTAACTTATCGAACCTAGCTTCTAATGCCTTAATCTTTGCCTCTAGTTTAGTATTCTTTGCCTCTACGGCCTCGACTCGCGCCTATATCGCGGCTAGCTCGCTATTTCTATCGTCTTCTTTAACCTCTTCTATACTAGCCGTATAGCTAGACTTGCCCTTATACTTATAATAAGCGTAGATACGCTCGCCCTTAGCATTAAGTATACGATACTTAAAGTTATTAGAGCGTATATAGTAGTAGCATAGCGCTAGTACAAGCTTGCTAGAGTCCGTTTCTATAATAATTCTAGCAGCCTTATATTTCTATAGTCTATTTAATACCGCCTTCTTCTTATTCGGTATCGCTATCTAATCGAGTAGCTCTTGCTATATCTGCGCGCTATAGTACTAGAAATCGTAGGTATTTATAGTCGTAGGGCGTCGAAGTCTAGAGCGAGTTAGTAGCGAGTCTATAGCGATGCGCCTTGCGACTTACGATAAATATTCTCCTCCTCCTACTAGTAAGTACGCTACTAGTAAGTACGCTACTAAAGTTGAAGCTAAAGCTACTAAAGCTACGCTAAGAATAAGGTCTCGCGGAATACTAGTTATAGCGGCTACTACTATCGGTATCGGTGTCGCTATCGGTATTGTCGATAGAAGAAGAATATTACGAGGCAAGGCGCGAAAGTGTAGCGAGTCTAAGTAAGGTTTATCGCGACAATAGGCATAGTAAGGTTAGTAAGGAAGGCGCAACAGGACAATAGACTGAAGTAAAGCTAACCCTCCATTAACAATCTGGTATGTATAGAGCTCCGTCCCTCAGGCATGCATGCATTATCGATGAAGCAGGAACCGGAGCAGATAAGGTTGCAGCTATGACGGGTTGCTGGGGAGGCAGTCACGACGCCGCGCTTACGAGCTCTCTGTTTCACTTTCACACTCAACCAACCCGGCTCTCTCTTGGTAAGTGTCTGCCTCTCTCTTCATCGCCCAATTCATCACTTCCATCGCTTACGGGGAGAAGGATTGCATACCACACATTGGCGGACCATTTCGCCGCAAACAGTACGTGCCCCAGCCACGCAACAGCCCACCCAACGCTGTGTAGAGCTGTCGCCTGATCATCGACGCACTCTAGGAACAGACAGCATCAACATGAAGGTCGCAGCATCAGCGCTGCTTGTTGGCAGTGCCATTGCCGCTGTTCCGCAACAACAGCAACCACTCCAGGCTCAGGAAGCCATCCAACATGCATACAAGCTTGCCGAAGACAAAGTCAGCTCGTGGTCGAAGCCGATGAAGAAGCTCCAGCACGAGCTTAAGCACCTCACCGATGAAGCCCGGCAGGTCTGGGACGAGGTCGCCACTCTCTTCCCTGAGGCCATGAGCCAAGCCTCGTTCTTCTCCTCGCCCAAGCCACACTCCCGCAAGCACGAGTCCGAGTGGGACTTCGTTACCAAGGGCAAGCATGTTGAAGACATGTTCTCCATCAATGCCCAGGGCGACAAGGAACGTGAGATCGATGGCCATCTTGAGGCATTCAACCTGCGCACCAAGAAGGTTGACCCAAAGAGCTTGGGAGTGGATACCGTCAAGCAGTACTCTGGATACTTGGACAACGAGGAGGATGACAAGCATCTTTTCTACTGGTTCTTCGAATCACGCAACGACCCTAAGAATGACCCTGTGCTCCTCTGGTTGAACGGTGGCCCAGGCTGCTCGTCGCTCACTGGTCTCTTCATGGAGCTTGGGCCCTCTTTCATCGACAAAGATAGGAAACCAGTCTACAACCCAAGCAGCTGGAACGCCAACGCTTCTGTCATTTTCCTGGATCAGCCAGTCAATGTTGGATACTCCTACTCTGGCGGCTCTGTCAGCAACACTATCGCTGCAGGCAAGGATGTCTACGCCCTCCTGACTCTCTTCTTCAAGCAGTTCCCAGAGTACGCCAAGCAGCCATTCCACATTTCTGGAGAGTCATATGCCGGCCACTACATTCCAGTGTTCGCATCTGAGATTTTATCGCACAAGAACCGCAACATCAACCTGCAATCTGTCCTCATTGGTAACGGGCTCACTGATGGCCTTACCCAATACGAGTACTACCGCCCAATGGCTTGCGGTGATGGTGGATGGCCAGCTGTGCTTGACGAATCGACTTGTTCCAGCATGGATAACGCTCTTCCCCGCTGCCAGAGCCTGATCGAGAACTGCTACAACAGCGAATCGGTCTGGTCCTGTGTGCCGGCCAGCATTTACTGTAACAATGCACTCATTGGGCCATACCAGCGCACCGGCATGAACCCTTACGATGTCCGTGAGAAGTGCAAGGGAAGCAGCTTATGCTACGAAGAGCTTGACTGGATCCAAGAGTACCTGAACAAGGATGACGTGATGAAGGCTTTGGGTGCTGAGGTCAGCAGCTACGACTCTTGCAACTTCGATATCAACCGCAACTTCCTCTTCAATGGTGACTGGATGCAGCCATTCCACAGACTGGTTCCAGGTATTCTTAAAGAAATTCCAGTCCTTGTCTATGCTGGTGATGCTGACTTCATCTGCAATTGTAAGTTCACAGATTGATGTAGCATTGCAAACGAATACTAATTGATTATAGGGCTCGGCAACCTCGCCTGGACGACCGCCCTCGAGTGGCCAGGCCAGAAGGCCTACGCCAAGGCTCCTCTTGATGACCTCAAGCTTGCTGGCCACGGCGACAAGACTGGCTCAGTCAAGTCCGCCGGCAACTTTACCTTCATTCGCATTCACGCTGGCGGACACATGGTGCCATACAACCAGCCGGAGGCATCCCTCGACTTTGTCAACAGGTGGATCGGCGGCGAATGGTGGGAGTGAATGTGATATCGGAAAGCCTGTGACGAATGCTTCAAAGATTTGTCGGAAAGAGCATGTTTGTCTCGGATGGCCTTAGATTGTGATGACGATTAATGTCCATACTTATCTATCAAATTACCTATGTGACTATCAGCCCTGCATTTAAGCAGCGAATTCCCTCGGACATAATAATCCTCGTTGCCTCAAACGGCTCCCAGCAGTATCGCCAGGAAAAGTCGCTACAACGAGAGCAGGGTTCTCATGCCCATCGATCGCCTCTTCTACTGCACATTTGAGGTGGTGGCAGAATACGTTCTAGTGAATGCACTGTGCCCTAGTCATGGCTACTGGGCTGCTTCACATGCAAACAGCGCGTATGCAGGGATCAACTAGTGCGGCTTGGCTTGTCCTCAGCCTACTCCTTAACACTTTCGCTCCCGCTACAAACTCCATCATTACTGTCCAAGGCAAGACTCGACCGCGCACAGCACATAGCTACGATGGCGCTCAACAGCGCAAGCACCAAGAAAAACGCACTGCCCTGCTCGACCTTCCCGCAGATCTCCTACTTGAGATTTTCGATCAACTCGAGCTGCGCGAGGTTGACAGGCTTCGACTTGTATGCAAGAAAATAGACTCAGCAGTTGCCAACTACCAATTTTCGATATGGTGGCAATGCTCTATAACACATCCAACATGTATAGGTAAGATCTATTCATTAGTAGCTGTCGAGACCTCTGCTTAGCGTTGCAATACTAATGTATGGCTACAACCCGCAGACAATCTGCTTCAATACATCCAGAACTGTCCGAAAGACAGGTTATCATGTATCGAGTTCACGCTGGGCTTCAACTACAAGCATGACGAAATCGAAATCGCGCCAAATCGAGACCAGAGCCTTGTCGACGCTCAAAATCAGCAGCTCACGGTGATCAAGCAAGGAGGACAGGACATCGTCGAATCCATCGACTATCAAAAGCTCCGCGCCTGTCTGGGGCATCTCAAACATACCTCCTGTGAGATCCTGATGGAGTTCGGGAATTGGTCACACATGTGGTCCGATGCCGAACAGCCAAAGGCCCTCGAGATCGCCCACGAGCTACTGTACATCATCGTCTGCTCGAATCTCCCGCTCGTGAAGTTGAACATTCGCAATTTGCCTTACGATGAACAGACTCTGAATACCATCTCGCGCGGCTGCTTCAACCTGCAGGATGCCTTCAAGAACCTGCGCTGCATCGATTACAGCTTGGATCCATGGACTATCGACTGGGACCAAGACGATATCGAGAAAACTTTGCGTGACACAGCAGGTGTTTTGAAGGCTTTCGAAAGCGCCACCAACCTGGAAATGATGCGACTCGTATCGTTCAACCACAATGACATCGACATTGCGCCCATCACCGCTAAATTCCTGAGAGCGAACTCATCACCATCGCTTCGGTCACTGTTCTTGGAACAGGTTGAATGCAAAACCGCCGACCTGATTGCCGCGATTCGGAAATGCGCTGCGATAGTTCGCCAGCTGGGATTGGTGCGCGTTGATCTTGATCGCTCCGCAACTCGACTTCAGTTGCTTCAGACAATCCAAGACTGCCCCGTTCTCTGCCATTTGGTCATCTTCAGGGAACCCGTGCTTCCTCCGAACCAAGGTACATACCAAACCTTCCTGCTGGAGCACTACAAGGGCAACGGATCTCTTGGAGCCGCGGCCACTTGCCGGGGATATATCTATTGGGAAACAAATGAAGAGGTGCGGAAGATTGTGGACTTCAATATTGCAAATGCTCAAAAGCTGAGCGACCCACATTGAGAGATTTTGGAAGCATTGGATTGTATCGCGAGCTCATGACAAAGCGAATGAGGCAAAATATCCCCAGCCGATCGATCCTTCTTCTAACCGATTCACGTCAGCTGAGGAGTCGGATGGCGATGGTGTGCCGCAGCCCAACGACATGGGTTCAGAGCTGCTCGCAACGGAATCAAGTCGCGCACATAGTCTTTGCAGCAAGACCGGGATCTGTAGCGTTAAACGGTGATAGGAACGGGCCATCGCTATATTTACATCTGCTCACTACCTACAGCGCTTTCTTCTCAGATACTGTCATAGTAGAGGCTTCAACAAGCGTTGCATCTCGTTCCTGCATCAAGAATGCAGCAGCAGCTCCAGGACCAGCCAAAACCGCAACCAGAATGGCTTTTCCAAGCGTCGCCAACGTAGAAGAGTCGCCCAAGCTGAGCGAGGTGGATTCAAGATATAGCGAAGTCGCCCAAATGACAGTCGCAGCAGACGAGCATAGGTAGTCCCATTGCAAGAAGATTGCAACGCCCGTCGCGAACGGCACTTTCGATACTACTTCAGATGACCAGAACGGAACCGGAATCAGGACAGTCTTCGGATCAAGCTCGATCACGACAACTTGCTTCAGCCATCCCGGAAACATCTGGAATGCAAGTAAGAATCCCAGAGAGGTGATGTGAAAGAATGCCGATGCCAGAATGCTGAAAGTGTAGATGCTGCGATTGACCGCTGGACGGAGAGGGCTTCGATCTTTGGACGAGGTGATAGCGAAGAGTTTGTAGAAGAAGTAGACGAAGACTGGATGGAAGAGGCGAGCAATGGTCCAGAACTGCTGCGATGCGATTCCTTCTCCATCCGGCTCGAGTTGAGACATGAGGATCGTCGGCACAACGTGACCGGGAATTAGCGCCCATCCTAATGCTTTCAGATCCCTAGCTGATGTGCCCACGACCTTGGTAGCATTCGTCTTCGTTGGGGCCAGCGTTACTAGCAGATGAACAATGCACCACAGTGGAGTCGCTATACCAATTCCGATCAATTCTCCCACGACTTCCAAGAAATACGTGGCGAAGGTAAATATCGCACTCCGGTCGTTCCGATGCGCTTCCAAGAGCATTAACATCCAGATACTGGTCAACGTGCCCAGGAGGTGATTTCCTTGCCAGTGTGCTCGAACATTTCGGGAGTCCAAAGTCGACCAGAAGAAAGACATCATGAAGCGGAAGTAGTTGTCGAGCCCATCAATGCCTGTCCGAGGAAGATCGATGGGAATATCGGTGTCGGGTAATGTCGTGTTCGAGAAGGTGATGACGTCCGGCAATGAGATTGTTCCATTCCATTCTGATTGCTTGTTCAAAGCGAAATGGGCTGTGATGAGTAGTCCGAGGAGGATTGCTGCTGACACAACCCTGAGGATAGACATACTGGCTTTTGCGGCGATGATAGTGTCGGATGTCAGCAACTTTGTATTTCTGGTCCTTTTGTCAGGGAGGAATTGAGTTTGGAATCTTCACATGGCCTGGACCTCGGCAAGACTGAATGTAAGAACACTAGTAGATTAGATGTCTACGAAGGGTTCTACGGAAGAGAGAGATCGGCTGTGCCAAGAACGCTCGGGCACGTGATCGTAGCCTGAGGCTGCAGGACCTAGCCTAGATATATTAAGTTACCCCCTACGCGAGTATTATTATTGTAACACAGCTATAATATACCTATTATTTATACAAGGGGCTACTGCCTATCCCTTCTATAGCGCCTCCTAGTTATCGTATATCTATACTATATAAAATATATATACTATAAGCTAATTCTATAGACGAGACTACGATAAAGCTGGGACTCGTAAGTCGTAATAAGGCATACGCCGTAGATCTGTTACTTACGCAAATAACTATTTAATAAGTTAAAGCGTACGATTAGCGAGGTTTCTAGTAATAGCTAATAAGCGGTCGAGAAACTCCGTTAATACTAAATATAGTACTACTTAGACGTTTTAATAGCGACTATATAGTCGACAAGGTTTAGTTACTAAACGAATACTTTATACTTATAGCGATTAAGCGCTTTAGTAAGACCGTCGGCCTTCTATTAATTAGTGCTAATCTAGTTAACTATAATCTTACCCTCTTAAATCTTCTCGCGAATAAAATAGAAGCGTATATCGATATGCCGCGTACGGCTATTAATACTAGCAGTACGCTTAGTAATGTTAATAGCAGGAATATTGTCTTCGTAGATAGTAATAGGGAATACTACTTTATCCTTAAAGCTATCGAGCTCGGTAATAAGATTGCCGAGTGCTATACCCTCCTTAGATGCTAGAGATAGTTAGATATATTCGGCTTCTATTAAAGAGAGTGTAATAAGTAGTTGTCTACCGCTCTTCTAGGTAATAAGACTATTGCTAAGAGTAAAGCAATACCCCCCTATAGAGCGACGTATATCTAAGTCGTCGGCCTATACTACGTTAGCGTAGCTATAAAGATTAAATAGTGCGGTACTATTAAATATAAGGCTACGGTTATAGTAACCGATAAGGTACTTTAGAATGCGGAACACTATAGTATAGTATTCTATCGTAGGGTTAGAGAGGTACCGCGATCTAATACCTGTTTTATACGTGCATTCTACGCGAGCAATTATAACTAGCTAGAGCACTTTACCTACTAGCACCTAATATCTCTCTTTTAGTGCTTTCTTAGCTATATAGGAGTCCGGAGCTTTACGAAGCTTATTCCGAGAGTCTATAGGTAAAGCCGGTGCCTTAAATGTGCTAGGGAGTAGGTTGTATAATACTTGTATTTCTATACTAGCTTATTTAAACATCTATCCTAGACAACGTAGATAGTCTTCTTCGCTCTATCGCGGATAACTCGTATTCCGAGGAAGTAATAAAGATTACTAAGTTCTCGAAGAGCCTACTTGTCTTTAAAGAGCGTAGCGATAGCTTCGAGTGCTTAGAGGCTATATACGATAATAAGCATATCGTTAACGTAGATATAGATAAGTAATCCGGAAGCGTGTTTGAATATATATATATCGCTCGGAATAGGAGTAAACTTAAGCTAAATAAGGAACTTCTTTAATTCTTCGTATTATAGTAGAGGTAACTATTTAAGTCTATATAGAGTATAGAGTAATAGGCAAACCTGCGGGTTGTTCTTGTCTTTGAAGCCGTATAGCATCTCTACGTAGATTTTGCGGCTATTAATTAGAGCGTTAAGGAAGGCAGTAATAATGTCGTATTGTTTGCACTCTAGGTCGTAGTATGCAATTATGCTAAATAGCACTCTAAGTGTCGATAATTTAACTACTAGTAAGTATGTCTCGTCGTAGTCGACACCTTAAATCTAAGTAAAGCCGCGGACTACCTACCGGGCTTTGAAGCAATAGATACGGCTATTAGCGTCTAGCTTAATTATAAATACCTAGCGTCCTTTTAGCATATTAGTGCTAGGTAGAAGGTTACCCTTATTAATTGTAAACTAGGTATTGTTTCTATTAAGTGCATTCTTCTTAGCTTGCATTGCCTCCTACTATTATAGCTATTTAGGTATAAATCTAGCCTCCTTAGCGCTCTTTAGTATACGGATATCGTAAGCTAATGTATCCGGATCCTTAACTGCGGCTACGAAGGCAGTAATAATTGCGTATAGCAGATCCTTAAGCTGCTTTCGCTCGTGCTTAGTAAGCGAGTAATATAGCGCTCGTCGTTATCGGCGATTAAGATCGAAGTCGAGATGTTTAGTCTTATAATATTCTGTCTATTTATCGCGAGGCTTTCTATAAGCTCTATAAGGAGGTTATTGCCTTATAGGCTCTATACTATATAGCTCTTGCTTTGTCCGCCGCGGTGCGCGTAGGCGTTAATTTAGGTCTTGTTATTATAGCAGCGGTCTCGGCGGTGCCTAGACCCCGTAGTAGTTCGGGTTGGTTTAGTTTGGTTTGCTAAGCCGAAACTCTAGTTTAGTTTAGGTTGGTTTGCTAAGCAACTATATAAGTAGCTAGTTCGAACTATATAATTTATCGGTTTTTAAGAAGTGTACGAATGTATACGTAGCTTTAAGCAAGCCCTTTGTAAGACTTAGTAGTATAGCCGGCAGCGTAGCCGGCATTTTTAGTCCTTAGTACTTATAGAATTTTCGAATCCTACTTAGGCTACGTAGTTGTATAAAGGTACTTATATAACCTCAAATCTATAGATAATTAGCTAAGGGCACTAACTAATCAAAAGCATATATATACATATATAAGGCATTATAGTTTAGTTCGGAAACTGCACTCCTTAGGTATAAATTTCATCCTTTCGTTTACGGTTCAATTCCCTAACTGCTTAGTAGAATGTCTTTATCTAGATCTAGGTAGAACTTATCGATTTCCCTAGAAGTCCTCCTCCTTAAGAAGTTTATGTACTTTCCTACCGAACTATTCGACAATATTAAGTACTAGGATAGCTCCTCCCTCGGTATCGGTATAGTATATAAAAGAGCTATAAGGCAGCTCTATAGAACGTTCTACTAGTTACTCGCTATACTAAGGCCGAATGCTAGTTCGTTCCTTAGAACTCTTAGTTATTTAGGAGATATAAAGGGTAGGGTAGGTAGTAACTTCGTATTATATAAGGAGGTAGAGGCTGCTATAGAAGAGGCCTTCAACCTATAGAAGATAGTAAAAGATATAGAGGCAGCTGTAGGTCTAGGTACCTAGTTGAATTTTCAGTAGGTAGAGTATAAGGATATTTAGAGGGAGTATTAGGTAGAGTTGCGAAGGTAGGTATATAATATACTCTAGAAAACAGGGATAGTGCCTATAACTATAACTATTAGGCTCTTTAACCTTCCTTATTTTTCCCTATTTTCTTTTTATAAAAATCTAAACTAATACAAATCAACCGGAATGTCTATCTTCTTTTAGTTCTTTAAAAAACCTAGTAGCGTAGCTAGTAGCGTAGCCGGCAGCGTAGCCGGCAGCGTAGCCGGCCTTTTTACTCCTTAGTACTAACGGGATTTTAGGAGACTTCTATTCCGTACGGCTAATAAAGCATACTATACTATATATATATGCTTAGAGAGTATTTAGAGCGCGGTATGTAGCGCCGTATAATAGCGGCTCATTTCGCATATAGAAAAGCTTATAGATAATACTACGAATATCCTTTCTACTAGAATATCTATCCTACCTAGCACCGTCTCGAATATAGACATTCTAGCCTTTTAGAATCTAATCGAGTGCTTTGAAATCCTTATCTATAATCGTTATACGCTTCGCGTAGATAGCTATAAGGTTAACCGCTAAAATAGTATTAGTATAGTCCGAAAAGAGGTAGAAGAGAAACATATATTCGAAGATACGAACTAGGTAGGCTTCTATAGCCTCTTAAAGGGCGCCTATCGCGGAGGCTTAGAAGCGAAGGTCCGTTCTATAATCCTAGGCAATTTCGCGAACAAGTCGTTAGAAAGGAGTTTTACGGATTAGGAGCTAAGAACTCTTCTAATACTACCGAATCTTACGGAGGGCTACGGCTAAAGAAGGATTAGTAAAAAGACAGTAAGAATACCGGCTACGCTACCGGCTACGCTACCGGCTACGCTGCCGGCTATAAATAGGACTTACTTCCTAGGCGCTATCGACGCTTCGTACGATTGCTACTAGTAGTAGAAGCGCTAGTTATCGTCTTACGTAGAGCCTTGTCGGTTACTTAGAGTCTGAGCCTTACTCGCGACGCCCTTTCTAGTACCGGAGCTAGCGGTAGTAGTAGCAGCCCTCTTACGTTAATATACTGTACTCGTTCTACTATTTCCGGTCTTATTGCGACCCGTAGAAGTACTAGGTCCCTTCTTACGAGGCGTCGTAACTTAGTTAAGTAGACTCGCTATTATAAAAGTCGTCGAATTAAGGAAAAAAGTGCGTTACGAAGGTATACGAAGGCGCGCGCGGAGCGAGGGTATTACGGAGGTAGTAGATATAGAGCGTAGAGGTATAGGTATCGATACGAAGGTTGAATATAGCGGTAGTATCGCGGTATCGCTAGGCAATAGAGTAAGCTTCGCGCAAGCCTATATTATAGTAACGTTAGAGCAAGGAAAGAAGGTAGGTACGGCTAAAAAAGGCAGGTACGGCTAAAAAAGGCAGGTACGGGAGACTTTGAAATATAGCCGGCATATATAGCCGGTATAGTAATAGGCGAAAGCCTCCTTTTAATAAATAGCCGGCGTAATAATAGTATCTTACTATAGTATAGATATTCTTTAGTAATGCCTTTACTAGCTATAGTAATCTTATAAGTAACCTAGGCCTATTACTAGTAAATATAAGAAATATTAGGTAGGCTATACTAAACAAGCTAGTTATTTAGCAGGAAAAGGCCTACTACCGTCTCTATATACCGGCTACGAGTGCCGGCTATCGCTCTAAATTCAACTC